AAGTGAGTGTCTAAGTGAGTGTCTAAGTGTCTAAGTGAGTGTCTAAGTGAGTGTCTAAGTGAGTGTCTAAGTGAGTGTCTAAGTGTCTAAGTGAGTGTCTAAGTGAGTGTCTAAGTGTCTAAGTGAGTGTCTAAGTGAGTGTCTAAGTGAGTGAGTGTCTGAGTGAGTGTCTAAGTGAGTGTCTGAGTGTCTAAGTGAGTGTCTAAGTGAGTGAGTGTCTAAGTGAGTGAGTGTCTGAGTGAGTGTCTAAGTGAGTGAGTGTCTAAGTGAGTGTCTGAGTGAGTGTCTAAGTGAGTGTCTAAGTGAGTGAGTGTCTGAGTGAGTGTCTAAGTGAGTGTCTGAGTGTCTAAGTGAGTGTCTAAGTGAGTGTCTAAGTGAGTGTCTAAGTGTCTAAGTGAGTGTCTAAGTGAGTGTCTAAGTGTCTAAGTGAGTGTCTAAGTGAGTGTCTAAGTGAGTGTCTGAGTGTCTAAGTGAGTGTCGAAGTGTCTAAGTGAGTGTCTAAGTGAGTGTCTAAGTGAGTGTCTAAGTGAGTGTCTAAGTGAGTGTCGAAGTGTCTAAGTGAGTGTCTAAGTGAGTGTCTAAGTGAGTGTCTAAGTGAGTGTCTAAGTGTCTAAGTGAGTGTCTAAGTGAGTGTCTAAGTGAGTGTCTAAGTGAGTGTCTAAGTGAGTGTCTAAGTGTCTAAGTGAGTGTCTAAGTGAGTGTCTAAGTGAGTGTCTAAGTGAGTGTCTAAGTGTCTAAGTGAGTGTCTAAGTGAGTGTCTAAGTGAGTGTCTAAGTGAGTGTCTAAGTGTCTAAGTGAGTGTCTAAGTGAGTGTCTAAGTGAGTGTCTAAGTGTCTAAGTGAGTGTCTAAGTGAGTGTCTAAGTGAGTGTCTAAGTGTCTAAGTGAGTGTCTAAGTGAGTGTCTAAGTGAGTGTCTAAGTGAGTGTCTAAGTGAGTGTCTAACTGAAGCAGCGGACACATGCCGTGTCCAGGGCTTTGCGGAAGTCGGCGGTGAGTGGAGGGAGAGCGGTGAGGGGAGCTGAGTGAGTGTCTAAGTGAGTGTCTAAGTGTCTAAGTGAGTGTCTAAGTGTCTAAGTGAGTGTCTAAGTGAGTGTCTAAGTGTCTAAGTGAGTGTCTAAGTGTCTAAGTGAGTGTCTAAGTGAGTGTCTAAGTGTCTAAGTGAGTGTCTAAGTGTCTAAGTGAGTGTCTAAGTGAGTGTCTAAGTGAGTATCTAAGTGAGTGTCTAAGTGAGTGTCTAACGGAAGCAGCGGACACAGGCCGTGTCCAGGGCTTTGCGGAAGTCGGGGGTGAGTGGAGGGAGAGCGGTGAGGGGAGCTGAGTGAGTGTCTAAGTGAGTGTCTAAGTGTCTAAGTGAGTGTCTAAGTGAGTGTCTAAGTGAGTGTCTAAGTGAGTGTCTAAGTGAGTGTCTAAGTGTCTAAGTGAGTGTCTAAGTGTCTAAGTGAGTGTCTAAGTGAGTGTCTAAGTGAGTGTCTAAGTGAGTGTCTGAGTGTCTAAGTGAGTGTCGAAGTGTCTAAGTGAGTGTCTAAGTGAGTGTCTAAGTGAGTGTCTAAGTGAGTGTCTAAGTGAGTGTCGAAGTGTCTAAGTGAGTGTCTAAGTGAGTGTCTAAGTGAGTGTCTAAGTGTCTAAGTGAGTGTCTAAGTGAGTGTCTAAGTGAGTGTCTAACGGAAGCAGCGGACACAGGCCGTGTCCAGGGCTTTGCGGAAGTCGGCGGTGAGTGGAGGGAGAGCGGTGAGGGGAGCTGAGTGAGTGTCTAAGTGAGTGTCTAAGTGTCTAAGTGAGTGTCTAAGTGAGTGTCTAAGTGAGTGTCTGAGTGAGTGTCTAAGTGTCTAAATGAGTGTCTAAGTGAGTTAGTGTCTAAGTGAGTGTCTAAGTGAGTGTCTAAGTGAGTGTCTAAGTGTCTAAGTGAGTGTCTAAGTGAGTGTCTAAGTGAGTGTCTAAGTGTCTAAGTGAGTGTCTAAGTGAGTGTCTAAGTGTCTAAGTGAGTGTCTAAGTGAGTGTCTAAGTGAGTGTCTAAGTGAGTGTCTAAGTGTCTAAGTGAGTGTCTAAGTGAGTGTCTAAGTGTCTAAGTGAGTGTCTAAGTGAGTGTCTAAGTGAGTGTCTAAGTGTCTAAGTGAGTGTCTAAGTGAGTGAGTGTCTGAGTGAGTGTCTAAGTGAGTGTCTGAGTGTCTAAGTGAGTGTCTAAGTGAGTGAGTGTCTAAGTGAGTGAGTGTCTAAGTGAGTGTCTAAGTGAGTGAGTGTCTAAGTGAGTGTCCAAGTGTCTAAGTGAGTGTCTAAGTGAGTGTCTAAGTGAGTGTCTAAGTGAGTGAGTGTCTGAGTGAGTGTCTAAGTGTCTGAGTGTCTAAGTGAGTGTCTAAGTGAGTGTCTAAGTGAGTGTCTAAGTGTCTAAGTGAGTGTCTAAGTGAGTGTCTAAGTGTCTAAGTGAGTGTCTAAGTGAGTGTCTAAGTGAGTGTCTGAGTGTCTAAGTGAGTGTCGAAGTGTCTAAGTGAGTGTCTAAGTGAGTGTCTAAGTGAGTGTCTAAGTGAGTGTCTAAGTGAGTGTCGAAGTGTCTAAGTGAGTGTCTAAGTGAGTGTCTAAGTGAGTGTCTAAGTGAGTGTCTAAGTGTCTAAGTGAGTGTCTAAGTGAGTGTCTAAGTGAGTGTCTAAGTGAGTGTCTAAGTGAGTGTCTAAGTGTCTAAGTGAGTGTCTAAGTGAGTGTCTAAGTGAGTGTCTAAGTGAGTGTCTAAGTGTCTAAGTGAGTGTCTAAGTGAGTGTCTAAGTGAGTGTCTAAGTGAGTGTCTAAGTGTCTAAGTGAGTGTCTAAGTGTCTAAGTGAGTGTCTAAGTGAGTGTCTAAGTGAGTGTCTAAGTGTCTAAGTGAGTGTCTAAGTGAGTGTCTAAGTGAGTGTCTAAGTGAGTGTCTAAGTGTCTAAGTGAGTGTCTAAGTGTCTAAGTGAGTGTCTAAGTGAGTGTCTAAGTGAGTGTCTAAGTGAGTGTCTAAGTGAGTGTCTAAGTGTCTAAGTGAGTGTCTAAGTGAGTGTCTAAGTGAGTGTCTAAGTGTCTAAGTGAGTGTCTAAGTGTCTAAGTGAGTGTCTAAGTGAGTGTCTAAGTGAGTGTCTAACGGAAGCAGCGGACACAGGCCGTGTCCAGGGCTTTGCGGAAGTCGGGGGTGAGTGGAGGGAGAGCGGTGAGGGGAGCTGAGTGAGTGTCTAAGTGAGTGTCTAAGTGTCTAAGTGAGTGTCTAAGTGTCTAAGTGAGTGTCTAAGTGTCTAAGTGTCTAAGTGAGTGTCTAAGTGAGTGTCTAAGTGAGTGTCTAAGTGAGTGTCTAAGTGTCTAAGTGAGTGTCTAAGTGTCTAAGTGAGTGTCTAAGTGAGTGTCTAAGTGAGTGTCTAAGTGTCTAAGTGAGTGTCTAAGTGAGTGTCTAAGTGAGTGTCTAAGTGAGTGTCTAAGTGAGTGTCTAAGTGAGTGTCTAACGGAAGCAGCGGACACAGGCCGTGTCCAGGGCTTTGCGGAAGTCGGGGGTGAGTGGAGGGAGAGCGGTGAGGGGAGCTGAGTGAGTGTCTAAGTGAGTGTCTAAGTGTCTAAGTGAGTGTCTAAGTGAGTGTCTAAGTGAGTGTCTAAGTGAGTGTCTAAGTGAGTGTCTAAGTGAGTGTCTAAGTGAGTGTCTAAGTGAGTGTCTAAGTGAGTGTCTAAGTGAGTGTCTAAGTGAGTGTCTAAGTGAGTGTCTAAGTGTCTAAGTGAGTGTCTAAGTGAGTGTCTAAGTGAGTGTCTAACGGAAGCAGCGGACACAGGCCGTGTCCAGGGCTTTGCGGAAGTCGGGGGTGAGTGGAGGGAGAGCGGTGAGGGGAGCTGAGTGAGTGTCTAAGTGAGTGTCGAAGTGTCTAAGTGAGTGTCTAAGTGAGTGTCTAAGTGAGTGTCTAAGTGAGTGTCTAAGTGAGTGTCTAAGTGAGTGTCTAAGTGTCTAAGTGTCTAAGTGAGTGTCTAAGTGTCTAAGTGAGTGTCTAAGTGAGTGTCTAAGTGTCTAAGTGAGTGTCTAAGTGTCTAAGTGAGTGTCTAAGTGAGTGTCTAAGTGTCTAAGTGAGTGTCTAAGTGTCTAAGTGAGTGTCTAAGTGAGTGTCTAAGTGAGTATCTAAGTGAGTGTCTAAGTGAGTGTCTAAGTGAGTGTCTAAGTGTCTAAGTGAGTGTCTAAGTGAGTGTCTAAGTGAGTGTCTAAGTGAGTGTCTAAGTGTCTAAGTGAGTGTCTAAGTGAGTGTCTAAGTGAGTGTCTAAGTGAGTGTCTAAGTGTCTAAGTGAGTGTCTAAGTGTCTAAGTGTCTAAGTGAGTGTCTAAGTGAGTGTCTAAGTGAGTGTCTAAGTGTCTAAGTGAGTGTCTAAGTGAGTGTCTAAGTGAGTGTCTAAGTGAGTGTCTAAGTGTCTAAGTGAGTGTCTAAGTGTCTAAGTGAGTGTCTAAGTGAGTGTCTAAGTGAGTGTCTAAGTGAGTGTCTAAGTGAGTGTCTAACGGAAGCAGCGGACACAGGCCGTGTCCAGGGCTTTGCGGAAGTCGGGGGTGAGTGGAGGGAGAGCGGTGAGGGGAGCTGAGTGAGTGTCTAAGTGAGTGTCTAAGTGTCTAAGTGAGTGTCTAAGTGTCTAAGTGAGTGTCTAAGTGAGTGTCTAAGTGTCTAAGTGAGTGTCTAAGTGAGTGTCTAAGTGTCTAAGTGAGTGTCTAAGTGTCTAAGTGAGTGTCGAAGTGTCTAAGTGAGTGTCTAAGTGAGTGTCTAAGTGAGTGTCTAAGTGAGTGTCTAAGTGAGTGTCTAAGTGAGTGTCTAAGTGTCTAAGTGAGTGTCTAAGTGAGTGTCTAAGTGAGTGTCTAACGGAAGCAGCGGACACAGGCCGTGTCCAGGGCTTTGCGGAAGTCGGGGGTGAGTGGAGGGAGAGCGGTGAGGGGAGCTGAGTGAGTGTCTAAGTGAGTGTCTAAGTGTCTAAGTGAGTGTCTAAGTGTCTAAGTGAGTGTCTAAGTGTCTAAGTGTCTAAGTGAGTGTCTAAGTGAGTGTCTAAGTGAGTGTCTAAGTGAGTGTCTAAGTGTCTAAGTGAGTGTCTAAGTGTCTAAGTGAGTGTCTAAGTGAGTGTCTAAGTGAGTGTCTAACGGAAGCAGCGGACACAGGCCGTGTCCAGGGCTTTGCGGAAGTCGGGGGTGAGTGGAGGGAGAGCGGTGAGGGGAGCTGAGTGGAGATCTTCGGGACAGTCGGAGAGACGGTGACCATCTCTCTTGCAGAGACCACAAACCACAGCTGGTGCCTACAGTGACACACACAGTGACACACACACACACAGTGACACACACAGTGACACACACAGTGACACACACACAGTGACACACACACACAGTGACACACACACACAGTGACACACACAGTGACACACACAGTGACACACACAGTGACACACACACACAGTGACACACACAGTGACACACACAGTGACACACACACAGTGACACACACAGTGACACACACACAGTGACACACACAGTGACACACACAGTGACACACACACAGTGACACACACACAGTGACACACACAGTGACACACACAGTGACACACACAGTGACACACACACAGTGACACACACACAGTGACACACACACACACAGTGACACACACACACACAGTGACACACACAGTGACACACACAGTGACACACACACACACAGTGACACACACAGTGACACACACACACAGTGACACACACAGTGACACACACACACACAGTGACACACACACACAGTGACACACACACACAGTGACACACACACACAGTGACACACACAGTGACACACACACAGTGACACACACACAGTGACACACACACAGTGACACACACACAGTGACACACACACAGTGACACACACAGTGACACACACAGTGACACACACAGTGACACACACAGTGACACACACACACAGTGACACACACAGTGACACACACAGTGACACACACACAGTGACACACACACAGTGACACACACACAGTGACACACACACACAGTGACACACACACACAGTGACACACACACACAGTGACACACACAGTGACACACACAGTGACACACACACAGTGACACACACACAGTGACACACACACAGTGACACACACACAGTGACACACAGTGACACACACACACAGTGACACACACACAGTGAGACACACACACAGTGACACACACAGTGACACACACACACACAGTGACACACAGTGACACACACACAGTGACACACACACTGACACACACACTGACACACACACTGACACACACACAGTGACACACACAGTGACACACACACAGTGACACACACAGTGACACACACACACAGTGACACACACACAGTGTACACACACACAGTAACACACACACACAGTGACACACACAGTGACACACACACAGTGACACACACACAGTGTACACACACACAGTAACACACACACACAGTGACACACACAGTGACACACACACACAGTGACACACACACAGTGACACACACACACACAGTGACACACACACAGTGACACACACACACAGTGACACACACACAGTGACACACACAGTGACACACACACACAGTGACACACACAGTGACACACACAGTGACACACACACACAGTGACACACACACACAGTGGCACACACACACAGTGACACACACACAGTGACACACACACACACAGTGACACACACACACACAGTGACACACACACACAGTGACACACACAGTGACACACACACACACACAGTGACACACACACACAGTGACACACACATACAGTGACACACACAGTGACACACACACACACAGTGACACACACAGTGACACACACACACACAGTGACACACACACACAGTGACACACACAGTGACACACACACAGTGACACACACACACGCACAGTGTGTGTGTGTGTCACTGTGTGTGTGTCACTGTGTGTGTCACTGTGTGTGTGTCACTGTGTGTGTCACTGTGTGTGTGTGTCACTGTGTGTGTGTCTCTCTCCACGCACGAACCTTGCCCTGAGTGAGGATGAGTTTGTCAAACACGAAGCTGTAGGAGTCTGGGTCGTCTTCATCACCAGCACCACCATCACCAACACCACCACCATCACCAGCACCATCACCAGCACCACCATCACCAGCACCATCACCAGCACCACCATCACCAGCACCATCACCATCACCAGCACCACCATCATCAGCTCCTGTAGTGGAAGCAGAGGTTAAGGGTTCAGTTCGTGTCTCTCTCTCTCTGTGTGTCTCTCTGTGTCTCTCTGTGTGTGTCTCTGTGTGTGTGTCTGTGTGTCTCTGTGAGTCTCTGTGGGTCTCTGTGTGTCTCTGTGAGTCTCTGTGTGTCTCTGTGTGTCTCTGTGTGTCTCTCTGTGTCTCTGTGTGTCTCTGTGAGTCTCTGTGAGTCTCTGTGGGTCTCTGTGTGTCTCTGTGAGTCTCTGTGAGTCTCTGTGTCTGTGAGTCTCTGTAGTTGCAAGGGAGACCGCCCACCCACCCATGTGACCGCCTATCGACCAATCGCCTTGCCGTTCACCTGCGTCGGCCATCTTTGGCGGTGGGGTGGTAGGACCTTCGGCCATCTTGGGTGGGGTGGTGGTACCGTCGGCCATCTTGCGTGGGGTGGCGGTGCCGTCGGCCATCTTGGGTGGTGGTGTGGCGGTACCGTCGGCCATCTTGGGTGGTGGTGTGGTGGTACCGTCGGCCATTTTGCGTGGGGTGGCGGTGCCGTCGGCCATCTTGGGTGGTGGTGTGGCGGTACCGTCGGCCATCTTGCGTGGGGTGGCGGTGCCGTCGGCCATCTTGGGTGGTCGTGTGGCAGTACCGTCGGCCATCTTAGGCAGGGTGGCATTACCAGCAACTGCTTCCTCCTCCTCCTCATCGCCACCGTCGCCATCGTCGTTGTCATGATCATCGTCATCATCAGCGTCATCGTCGTCATCATCGTCGTCATCATCGTCATCATCGTCGTCATCGTCGTCATCGTCATCATCATCATCGTCGTCATCATCGTCATCATCATCGTCGTCGTCATCGTCGTCGCTTGCAGACGAGAGGTCGTGGGAGGTCATCTCCGTGGCGATCGAGCCAGGCTCCGCCCCTTCCCCCGTCTCCATGGCGACCGATCCCGGCTCCGCCTCCGCCACGGTCTCCACGGCGACCGATCCCGGCTCCGCCCCCTCCCCCGTTTCCTTGGCGACCGAGCCCGGCTCCGCCCCCTCCCCAGTCTCCACGGCGACCGAGCCCGGCTCCGCCCCCTCCCCGGTCTCCACGGCGACCGAGCCCGGCTCCGCCCCCTCCCCCGTTTCCTTGGCGACAGAGCCCGGCCCCGCCCCCTCTCCCGTCTCCGTGGCGACCGAGCCTGGCCCCACCCCCTCAGCGGCGACGGATTTAGGCTCCGCCCCCTCCTCATCCTTGACATTCACTCTCTCATTCACTCTCTCATTCACTACTGCCTCCTTCCCTCCCTCCCTCAATGCGTCAACCATGTCTCTCCCCGTGTCTCTCCCCGCGTCTCTCCCCGCGTCTCTCCCCGCGTCTCTCCCCGTGTCTCTCCCCGTGTCTCTCCCCACGTCTCTCCCCGCGTCTCTCCCCGTGTCTCTCCCCGCGTCTCTCCCCGCGTCTCTCCCCGCGTCTCTCCCCGTGTCTCTCCCGGTGTCTCTCCCCGTGTCTCTCCCCGTGTCTCTCCCGGTGTCTCTCCCCGCGTCTCTCCCCGCGTCTCTCCCCGCGTCTCTCCCCGCGTCTCTCCCCGTGTCTCTCCCCGTGTCTCTCCCCGCGTCTCCGTTGACGAGCGGTCCCGGGGGAGACTTCTTGTGAGGGATGGCAAAGTAGCTGCAGATAGACACAGGCAGATAGACAAACGTGTCTCTATCCCCGTGTCTCTCTCTCTCCGTGTCTCTCTCTCTCCGTGTGTCTCTCTCTCTCCCCGTGTCTCTCTCTCTCCCCGTGTCTCTCTCTCTCACCGTGTCTCTCTCTCCCTGTGTCTCTCTCACTCCCCGTGTCTCTCTCTCACCGTGTCTCTCTCCCCGTGTCTCTCTCTCTCACCGTGTCTCTCTCTCCCTGTGTCTCTCTCACTCCCCGTGTCTATCTCTCCCCGTGTTTCTCTCTCCCCGTGTCTCTCTCTCTCCCCGTGTCTCTCCCTGTGTCTCTCTCTCCCCGTGTCTCTCTCCCCGTGTCTCTCTCTCTCCCCGGGTCTCTCTCCCCGTGTCTCTCTCCCCGTGTCTCTCTCTCTCTCTCCCCATGTGTCTCTCTCTCTCCCCATGTGTCTCTCTCTCCCCGTGTCTCTCTCTCTCCACGTGTCTCTCTCTCTCTCCCCGTGTCTCTCTCTCTCCCCGTGTCTCTCTCTCCCCGTGTCTCTCTCTCTCCCCGTGTCTCTCTCTCTCCCCGTGTCTCTCTCTCTCCCCGTGTCTCTCTCCCCGTGTCTCTCTCCCCGTGTCTCTCTCTCTCCCCGTGTCTCTCTCTCTCCCCGTGTCTCTCTCTCCCCGTGTCTCTCTCTCTCCACGTGTCTCTCTCTCTCTCCCCGTGTCTCTCTCTCTCCCCGTGTCTCTCTCTCCCCGTGTCTCTCTCTCTCCCCGTGTCTCTCTCTCTCCCCGTGTCTCTCTCCCCGTGTCTCTCTCCCCGTGTCTCTCTCTCTCCCCGTGTCTCTCTCTCTCCCCGTGTCTCTCTCTCTCCCCGTGTCTCTCTCTCTCTCCCCGTGTCTCTCTCTCTCTCCCCGTGTCTCTCTCTCTCCCCGTGTGTCTCTCTCTCTCCCCGTGTCTCTCTCTCTCCCTGTGTCTCTCTCTCTCTCCCCGTGTCTCTCTCTCTCTCCCCGTGTCTCTCTCTCTCTCCCCGTGTCTCTCTCTCTCCCCGTGTGTCTCTCTCTCTCCCCGTGTCTCTCTCTCTCCCCGTGTGTCTCTCTCTCTCCCCGTGTCTCTCTCTCTCCCTGTGTCTCTCTCTCTCTCTCTCCCCGTGTCTCTCTCTCTCCCCGTGTGTCTCTCTCTCTCCCCGTGTGTCCGTGTGCGTCCTCACCGGTATGCTTGTCTCACACACTCCAGCATGTAGTCAAACACGAGTTGGCTGTTCAGCGAGCGGGCAACATTCCGCCTGGTGGAGTACGGATCTGGGGGATGGACCATCACCACCATCAACACCACCACCAACAACGCCACCAACAACGCCACCAACAACCGCCATTCGCCACTAAGTGGCGGTGACGTCACCACGACGCTTGTGCCAGGCTATGTGCACCCTGAGGCCACGTGAAGTGTCGAACGCCCGCTGGCAGGAGGTCACTGGGCAGACCCAGCAGGTGCCACGGGTCGACTGACTGAGATGACTGGCTGATGCACCACCTGTGCCCCTTACTGTGCCAACCTGCTGTGCTTTAGCCACCCGGCGCTCCGCTCGTTGTTGTGAGCGTCGCTCCTCCGCCCTCCGTTGTTGTTGGAGGGCGACTGCCTCCAACTGCCCAGTAGCAGCGTCCTTCACGAGCCTCCTCCACAGAGGCCGATCTTGACACCGCTGGTACCGGTCATCGGCAAGTCCACTCAGCTCCACGTCCTCCTGTACCACGTCACTCCATCTCTTCTCTAGCCCGTGCCGCGCCCACATAGCCCCCTCAATCCGGCCGAACAAAAGCTGTTTCGGCATTCGGTGGCTGGGCATGCGGGCTACATGACCCAGCCAACGCAGCCTTGCCTGCCGGAGGAGCTCACCGATGGGACTTTGTCCAGATCTTTCAAGGATTTGTGAGCTCCTCACACAATCCAGTCTGGTTAAACCCAGGATGGATCATAGGCAGGCCAGCCTAAATGTTTCTAACCGGCGAAGATGTTCCATTAGGGGGGTCCACGTTTCACAAGCGTAGAGAAGGGAGGGAATGACCGTGGCAGAGAAGACCTGAAGCTTAGTGCGGAGCGACAGACCAGGTAGCTTCCACACAGCGTTACGCAACCGATGAAAAGATATTGCCGCTCGACTGATTCGGAGTGAGACCTTTGCTGTTAAACCGGAGCCAGTCATAAGCACACTGCCCAGGTATGGGAAACTCTCCACTCTCTCCATAACTGCCCCATCACCGATTGGGAGTTGTGAGGGTGGAGTGTCCGATGGTACAAAATACCCAGGCAGATGCTTAGTTTTGGTGGGGCTGATGGTAAGGCCCCACCTCTTAGTGGCACGCTCCAGTCTCAGCAGCAGCGTCTCCAACTCCTCCTCTGACTGAGCAGCTATTACCAAATCATCAGCATACATAACGTGGTTGAGCAATAGGGAGCCATCCCTTGACCGCACCCGGGCATCGATCAGCCTCCCATTATATCTGTACCATATGGAGATTCCCCCGGTACAGCTATTGAAGGCTTCACGAACTACGTGGTCAAAATAGATGTTAAATAATGTGGGAGCCAGAGGACATCCCTGTCACACCCCAAGGTGTACAGGGAATGGCTCTGACTCCCAGCCACGTAGTTTTACCCGGGCCCGCTCACCATCATGAAGGTCCTTAATGATCGTGAGCAGAGGGTCAGGTACTCCAAATGCACGAAGAACAACCCAGAGCCCAGGCCTGCTGATGGTATCATAGGCCTTGACCAGGTCAATAAAGCAGAGATGTAGGTCTTGTTGGAATTCCCTACACCTCTGCTGTAGCAGACGGACAGAAAATATGGCATCTGTGCAGGACCGCCCTTTCCTGAAACCGCATTGGGGCTCCGCAAGCCTCTCCTCAACGTGCCTGGCAAGGCGATATTGAATAATCCTTGCCAGGACCTTTCCCGGCACACTGAGGAGTGAGATGCCCCTGTAGTTGTTACAGTCTGTGCGGTCCCCCTTCTTAAAAAGGGGGACCGCACAGACTGTAACAACTTTTTAAAAAGGGGGACCACCAGGGCATCCTTCCAATCCTGCGGAACCCGTCCAGCAGTCCAGACTGTTGTTATGATGTCATATAGGGCAGTCTGTGCACAAACGCCACCCTCCCTCAGCATTTCGCTTGGGAGATCATCTCTGCCCGCTGCCTTTCCTGGTCTCAGACTCCGGATCGCCTTCAATACTTCCTCAACAGATGGTACTTCAGCCAGCCACTCACAGGGGGTGACTTCTTCCAATATTTGAGGCACCGCAGCCTCAGCAGGGTCATCCTCACTTTGTGCCACGATGTTTTCCTGGCTGAGGGATTTTCCCTCCCCCAGGACCTCACAGAAATGCTCAGAAAATCTGCGAACCTGTTCCTGGGGGTCAGAGATTGGATCACCGCTCTTTTTCCCCTAATGATGGTAATAGGTGTGGCGCTGCAGGTTACTTTTTTGATGGAATTAAATAGAGATTTGTGATCGCGGGCCACTGAGGCAGACTCCATCTCCTCAGCAACCCGCGACCACCACCCAACCTTGCAGCGCCTCACGGCTCTCCGAACCTCCGAGCGAAGGCTGCGGTAAGCCTCCTAATTCTCTGACATGAGATGGTGTAGCCGATGAGAGTGGGCCTGTCGCTTTTTCTCAACCATCCTGAACACCTCCTCTGTCAGATGACTAGTCGATGGTCAGAGGGCAGATCAGCTCCACGGTAGGTCCTGGTGTCAAGGACATGGGCTCGCATTCGCTGGTCCGTCACTATGTAGTCCAGCTGATGTTCTTGCTTGGACCCGGCATGCATCCATGATGTTGTGTGGATGCGCCGATGCCGAAACAGCGTGTTGGTAATTACAAGCCCATGGGCTGCACAAAAATCTAGCAGCCTCCCATTCATTCTTTTGTTCAGAAGAAGACCCACACCCTGTTGTTTGGCAGTCTGCTGCCCCGAGTAGAGGACTGTCCACCCCTCATGGTGGCAGGAGCCAGAACTGGTCCACCGGACCTCCTGAATGCAACAGAGATCCAGACGGTACCGGTCCAGCTCCCGACGGAGGAGTGGCAGCCTCTCCTCCGCAGTGAGCGTTCGAACATTCCACGTGGCCATCCGTAGTGGCTTTTCGTTGATTCTGGAGGAGCCCCGAGGGTAGAGATTCAATCTCCTGGCTCCGCCAATTGGGGTTTGGCCAGGAGACGTCATAGACGCCTGTCCCCCCGGGGCCTCCGGCACAAGCTTATTAGTTACATATTTCAGTCGTGGTTTAGTGGTAGTTTATTGAAGGTGGAGGGGTTACCAGCCCCTCGCACCCGTCCAGAGCCCCCGTTTAGCCCCTGTGGTGGACACAGACGCCATGAGGGGAGGAGCCAATCGGAATTGGATCTCCCCCCACAGCACTGTCCACGACAGAGTTGCCCGTCTGACGCACACACACAGTGACACACAGTAACACACACAGTGACACACACACACACACAGTGACACACAGTAACACACACAGTGATACACACACAGTGACACACACAGTGACACACACATACAGTGACACACACACAGTGACACACAGTGACACACACACAGTGACACACAGTGACACACACACAGTGACACACACACACAGTGACACACAGTAACACACACAGTGACACACAGTAACACACAGTGACA